TCAGCTATTTCGTTGTATTTGTTCTTATATTCCACTCTCTAGTTGCTTTTTTGTACAATTATATTAGGGAGAAGAACAAGATGACGAGCGGCCAGTCTACTGTACGCCTAACGCGTCCTCTAGCCAAGTCTATGGTTCGTCCAGGAGCTTTAACAGTAGGTTATTTATACAAAACTTATTCTGACTTGATTGTTCATTATTGTAGGAATTGGAGAACTATGTATCTCCTGCAAAGAAAACAAGAATGCAAGACGTCATCCCCCCACCTACACCCGACTCGAAGGTGATTGTTCTTGATGCTGAACCAGGACTGGAACATTATGAGCTAGGTGTGCAAAACAAACCCCTCACGCCTCCACAAAAATTGTCAATGAAGGTATGTAATCCTAGTGATGTACATATGCTTCCTTTTCGCCCACTATTTTCGTTGTTTTCCTTCGTTCCTTTCTCCGCCACTTGTAATCCTAGTGAAAACCTCTTCTTATTTCCTCTATTTGTTCGTTCTCCACGATTGAAGGGTACCACAAGGTTTGAGCTCCCTACAGCCGTCAACTACAGTGACGAAGAAGTGAGTTTTGCTCACTATATATTTGCAGAAGACCTTCCTCCTGATGAAGCTTTGGTCAAAACAATGATGAAATCATACACCAGGCAGACATTATGGAGCTTATGCCCCGAGTCAAGCGTTGATGCTGATGTAAGTACTTCTGCGAAAAGCCCCTAGTTGACCTAAACGTGCTTAACGATTTTTAATCATTGGATTTTATTTCTATTGTGTTTTAGGTAATTACAGCGTTAGCATGCCACTTGACCTTGGACGAAGTTAAAAGCGATACTGGTCTTGGAAGAAGAGTGTGCTTTCTGCCTACGGAATTGCAGGTAAGTGTTGCTTTTGCTTTGTAATTCTAATCCAGTTTACACAGGGTTGGTTGTTTATTAAGTAAGATTAGTGTTCAATGATTTAACTTCATTTTCCTACCAGGATATGGTCGTTAATTATGGCATGACATCTGCAAAGGCATTAGAGTTATATGATACAAAATTCCTATCAAAAGCTCGTAACTGTAGAAAGGTTATGACTTCTCCACAATTCTTCCTTCTCATTTCTGCTTATTTAGTAGCGGTTTTCACAACATATGTGCGCGTGAATTATGCCTGCCCTTCTGCTTAATTTCTTGAATGAATTATGTCGGAAAACTAATTAGTTAATTGGATTGTTTTCTCGTACCTTAAGGTTTGTCTTCCCATGAAAGATATGATGAATGATGAAGGCATCCACTGGTATTTAGCTATAATTTTGATGGACCAGAAACAAGTACACATTCTGGATTCATGCCCATCAAAAGAGCGCCAGACAATCCGTAGTAATGCAGTTAACACAATGGTATAGTTAAAATTTGTGCCATTGAATACATACTTCAATACACGTGTTTGTAATTCAATTATGTGGCATTATATTTTCCAACAAAATTTTGTAATTCATAGGTTACTTTTTGAACGTTGTAGATTGAATTTCTGAACGACTTGTTCGATGCCTTACACAAGGAAGTTCAATCAACATGTGCACCACCACAGATTAAGGAGTTTTCTTTGACCACTCCTGAAGTTCCTACAAAACGACACAAGTAAGAATGTATATTTGGTCATAATTTCACTAGAAAAATAAAATATTCGTGTCTTACGTAATGCATCTTTCTAAACAGGAATGATAGTGGGATCTGGGTTTGTGTGTGGATGATGGGATCAACTTGGGATGATGACTATTATATTTGAGTAAGAAATCACCTACTACCTAGGCCCATTTATTTCTAAGAGCACATTAAAAAAACTATGTCAACTATTGTATTAATACGTTATATTTTCTGTCCTTACAGCCATGCAATCATTTGAGAAGAATGCAGGTGGCATTGTACCTAGTCAAAGAGCCTACCAATTACATAAGACACAAGGTGCTCAAGAAAGCAAATCAGAATGTGCCTAGGTTTGAAGCTCAGACACTTGAGTACAAAATAGCTTCCCAAGAGAGGAAAGCAGGTTCCCAGAAGAGGCTAATTCAGGAAAGCAGCTTCCAAGAAGAGGCGAATTCAGGGCTCAAGGATATCTAGTCGCATAGTGTGTTCTGCTAAAACATTTTAGCATTTAGTTTTGTTTCTTCCTTTCCAACGAATGCCCTCTTTATGGTAACGATTTAAGGATATCTAGTCGCATAGTGTGTTCTGCTAAAACATTTTAGCATTTTGTTTTGCTTCTTCCTTTCCAACGAATGCCCTCTTTATGGTAACGATTTAAGGATATCTAGTCGCATAGTGTGTTCTGCTAAAACATTTTAGCATTTTGTTTTGTTTCTTCCTTTCCAACAAATGCCCTCTTTATTGTAACGATTTAAGGACACGTTTATTATTCAGCCGAATAAACACAAGTACACAGCCAGAGGCTAGTTTGCCAAACAGAAATGGAACTGCTACAGTAATCTCACATTGCAGACAGATAGCCAAAATAGCAGCAACAGAAACAGCCACCTCTGAGATTCGCATAAAAACTAATAGAGATAAACTGGCCAGATTACTTGCCTCGGGAAACTTATTCCCATCACGTCTTCACGAAGTAACCCATCGAAATTTGCTGGAGGATCGTCCAACAACCAGCCCAATCAAGTGGACCCTTAAACCATTTTTCAATAAAGATGGAAGAACCCGAAACATGATTAAAAGCATCACTAGTGAAGAATGTGGCTAAAATGAAAGAGGTCACATATCGTCCATTCAAATAATATTTGTCTGAGCTCAACCAAACTTGAGTTGCTCCCCCTATAAATGTAATCACCCTCTTGTTTCTTCATATCTTCTTCAGACAACTTATCAACTGTGCTAAACATGAAACTATCAAGATCGACTTCCTTGTTCCTCGGATCCATTCTGACCTGGAAAAAGAAAACCACCAAACAAGCTCCTCAACAGATCATGTCAAAGACTACTGAAAGAATGGACCAAAAACACACATGATCCTGGAAAGGGACATCTTAAGCACCTAATTCCGATACACATTAACTCGGTTTATCATCAATGCATAAAACCGTCACCACAATTCGTCAAAACCCTTACCTTGTCAAAGTTAACCACGAAGATAGAAGCAGGACTGGGCCTGTCGGGGTCTCTGTTTAGTTCGAACCCCACGGTTTCAGTGTAAAAAAATGTAGGAATAGAATTTTTGAAATACAGACTCCACAGCTGTAGCCTCCACTTCAAACAACGAGACCTCTCTTCCCAAATCAGTCTACAATACACCTCATCTATATCAGAGATCCATCCAAAATCACAGCATTGTAGTTCGAAAATCAATTTCGGCAATTTCAATTCAAAATCCCTTTCTTACCTCCCTAGCAGATCCTGAAGGAACCATGGCCTCTTTCATTGCCTTCTCCAGTGCAATCATCTCCGCCTGCCCAGCTGTTTACACAAGTGAATTACTCATACAAGCAACAATTAGTTTTCATTCAAAGGGATGGGGGTGCTTATGCTTGCACAGCTTGACGCCGAGATTACCTGCGATATTCGGCCAGTTTAGGGTTCAAACAATCGATTGGGAGGAATCATAGGACAGGTGTGAAATATAACAGTCGAGAACGGGAAAACGAAGAAGAATAAGAGGAGGAAACAGAGTGGTTCAATTATCGCTGCCATTTTCTGAGACGGCTGGGATGATTTACAGGAGTAGGGAGGAAGAACAGGGTTATTCCCAATTCGAACAGAAAAATGGAGAAGAGAGAAGGTCCAAGGTCGGGATTTGGAGGAGAGGGGTAGGGCTGCGGGTGGGGCAAGGTAGGTGTCCTTTCTCTTAGGGTGGTTGGGTTTTGGGTCAATTCAATAACTAAACAGAACCAACCCGATTTGGTTTACAATGGAATAAAATGAAAGAAAAACTAATTCTATGAGTTGATCTGTAATTTTATTTAATATAAATTGTAACACCCTACCCTATACGTTTTGCCTAATCATATTGTTCATACAATTGCAGCGGAATTAATCTCGGGTGTTACACTAATTATCAAAATTTACCCGAATAAAATTTCGACATGAATTACTTGCGGAATGGGCTAACAGTTCTTGCAACTTATCCTGCAAAATAATTCATCACAAACATATATACTCACAACCATATGCATTGGCTTTTCATAGCCATAATCACAGTTTCATACTACACAACTGCATACTATACTAATACATGCTATCATCATCACAACTTACATAATTACACAATATACACATATCATCAACTTTCCACACCTGTGGATATCTCACACTACATCAGAAGCTAGTATGCACATGAAAAACGTTCTCAAAGCATTTTTACAAAAAGGTGTGGATCACTGGCCAAAATTCCGAGTAGTAGTCCAAGCACAAAATAGTTGAAGACAATACCTAATCCTGCCTTTAACTCCTCACTCTGCCCACACCTAAGTACTTGCTACTGCTACTGCTGATGATCTGCTTACACATAGCATAAGCAGAGGAAAAGAATAAAAGAGAGTCAGCTCATAGCTGAGTGAGATAATCATAGCATCGTGAGTTCATAACAGAGCATACCCCTACCATACATCTAGCAAACAAGCCAAATCACTAGGATCGGACCTCAGCCATCCTCATGTCCCAATAGGCAAAAGACTCAACCACCTTGACTTATGCATATGCATCTTATCATGTTTTACTTATAGGCGCCTGGCTACTCCCATGCTAATTACTCTCCCGGGAATACGGACCAAACATCTCTTGGATGTGGTCATATCGGACCCACCACTGCCGGTGTAGTCATATCGGACCTGACACCACTCTGGGTGTGGTCATATCGGACTCAACACCACTCTGGGTGTGGTCATATCTCATGATGAATCAACGGTCAACACCACATCAGGGGTGTGACATAACATATCATAACGGAGTAATAGCATGGGGAGCCCTAATTACTAAGTAATTGACCATGAGACCAAAGTACTCTTACTTAATCTCCTTATACATGATCCATTTCTCATCTTGCTTAATCATAATTCGTTACTCGCACATGTACTTGACCTGGCCACAATTGGCTCAACATAGGTAAATCAGGAGTCGTATAATTGCACTTCCTCGGGATAAACCCTCGTGCAAGTCATCCTCCTTAAACATCATAATATCACCAGGGAATATATATTTTCCCACATATGTATCCAAATACAACAATCATGAAAAGTCATACACAATCACCTTCTCGAACCATCATAAAGCATATTAACAGTCTAGCCCACAATTTGTAACATATACACAATCATCAGCATAAACAAGGTCCAAGTCGACTAGGGCAAGTCAATAATATCATACAGCAATCCAGGGTTCAACATATAGCACAAAAGTTCATACACCCCTAATCATGCCATTCTAGTTCACCTAGATCAATTCTAAGCATCAATAAATAACTATCGTGATACGACAAACCCGGTATGCCGTGCTAATCCCTCACCAGTTCTGGTCGTTCAAACACCGGTTTAACCTTCCCGTACTAAAACGGCAATTTCACGAACGAACCCCGAATTAAAATCCGAGACCGTCCTAATATCCCCTGCAGTATCCCCGTCAATATTAGTTCTAGGCTCCGGTTCAAACTCTTGATAAAAACACATCAAACTCTGGCCGGAGCTAAATTCAGCGATCCCGGCTCCGACCTAAATAATTGCCCAAATTCAGGGATTAAAACTAGAGGATTGATTACCTCGCTGCAGGAAGCTCGTATATGAAATCTGGGCTTAATCCGGCTTCCGGATACTCCGAAACCCTAATTTGGCTTATCGGGAATTCAAAAAATTTCTGAACCAAAAACTTGTTTTAAAGCTCTAAATCGATAAATCACGATGTATAGATGAATTATGCATTACTTACGGGATTTTCGGATTACTTATGCTCAAGAATTGAGCTCTGAGACTTCCCCCCTCGCTTCCCCTGAGCGCCCTCTGCTCTCGGTCCAGAAAATGGAAAGATGACGATGGTAGGAAATAATGGACGGGGGAGAAGGGGAAATGTTAATATATATGCGGCCCGACCGCTTATGATTTATTTTATATTAATTATATAATATAATTAATACGTATACTTATCCGATCGACCGATAATTCAATTTTCGCCGAAATACTATCAAAACGCTCGATTTTAAATCGTGAAATTTTCTAACGACCAAAATATGAGTTTTGCCGGAATGGGATGTTACAATTCTCCCATCCTTCAAAGATTTCGTCCCCGAAATCTAACCTTGAGTTGTACCCTTAGTCCGCTTACTCATCCTTAACATGGTCTATCGTAGATAAACCATTACCTAACTCTTAGGTTAGGCGATTCATAGCATAGAAGGTAACACATAACACCTCAAGTTCCCATGTTTAGATTTCAAACCTAAACTGGGTTATCACATCATAAGCACATCAACAAAGTTCGAAAGCATAATTCACTAAACCAAGTTATTAACCTGCAAGGTAGATGGCCACTAACACAAGGTTATATGAACCTACAAAATGGTTACCACAATATCATCAAGATTCATATCTCTATTCAAATATCTACCATCACAACTCATCATGTTAGCACAGCCTAAACCCAACTGCATTGCATAGCTAGCCACCATGCTTCTCAATTGGTTAGTAGTGACACATAAAACTACTTCTGTGCAAACTACATGGAAACATTGGCCTTAGATAGATCCACACACATTTGGCTCTAACCAAGTTACTCACTTGGTTGAAACAAAACTTTGTCCAAAATAATTACTTGAAAAACAAGATAAAACTCCACAAAATTATCAATACCACTTAAACCATAAAATTTTCAAGATTACTTCAAATACTCAAAATCATGTTTGACAGTATGCAACTGACTATGCAACACATCATCACCTTTGGTCCCAATCCTGGAAAGTTTAGTGCAAGTACAGGTATGGAGTACTCCTTCCCCTTTCGAGGGTGATCAGTCCTCAAGGGTGAAAGTAACACACCCATAATGCAGAAAACAAACCAGCTCTGATACCAAACTGTAACACCCTACCCTATACGTTTTGCCTAATCATATTGTTCATACAATTGCAGCGGAATTAATCTCGGGTGTTACACTAATTATCAAAATTTACCCGAATAAAATTTCGACATGAATTACTTGCGGAATGGGCTAACAGTTCTTGCAACTCATCCTGCAAAATAATTCATCACAAACATATATACTCACAACCATATGCATTGGCTTTTCATAGCCATAGTCACAGTTTCATACTACACAACTGCATACTATACTAATACATGCTATCATCATCACAACTTACATAATTACACAATATACACATATCATCAACTTTCCACACCTGTGGATATCTCACACTACATCAGAAGCTAGTATGCACATGAAAAACGTTCTCAAAGCATTTTTACAAAAAGGTGTGGATCACTGGCCAAAATTCCGAGTAGTAGTCCAAGCACAAAATAGTTGAAGACAATACCTAATCCTGCCTTTAACTCCTCACTCTGCCCACACCTAAGTACTTGCTACTGCTACTGCTGATGATCTGCTTACACATAGCATAAGCAGAGGAAAAGAATAAAAGAGAGTCAGCTCATAGCTGAGTGAGATAATCATAGCATCGTGAGTTCATAACAGAGCATACCCCTACCATACATCTAGCAAACAAGCCAAAACACTAGGATCGGACCTCAGCCATCCTCATGTCCCAATAGGCAAAAGACTCAACCACCTTGACTTATGCATATGCATCTTATCATGTTTTACTTATAGGCGCCTGGCTACTCCCATGCTAATTACTCTCCCGGGAATACGGACCAAACATCTCTTGGATGTGGTCATATCGGACCCACCACTGCCGGTGTAGTCATATCGGACCTGACACCACTCTGGGTGTGGTCATATCGGACTCAACACCACTCTGGGTGTGGTCATATCTCATGATGAATCAACGGTCAACACCACATCAGGGGTGTGACATAACATATCATAACGGAGTAATAGCATGGGGAGCCCTAATTACTAAGTAATTGACCATGAGACCAAAGTACTCTTACTTAATCTCCTTATACATGATCCATTTCTCATCTTGCTTAATCATAATTCGTTACTCGCACATGTACTTGACCTGGCCACAATTGGCTCAACATAGGTAAATCAGGAGTCGTATAATTGCACTTCCTCGGGATAAACCCTCGTGCAAGTCATCCTCCTTAAACATCATAATATCACCAGGGAATATATATTTTCCCACATATGTATCCAAATACAACAATCATGAAAAGTCATACACAATCACCTTCTCGAACCATCATAAAGCATATTAACAGTCTAGCCCACAATTTGTAACATATACACAATCATCAGCATAAACAAGGTCCAAGTCGACTAGGGCAAGTCAATAATATCATACAGCAATCCAGGGTTCAACATATAGCACAAAAGTTCATACACCCCTAATCATGCCATTCTAGTTCACCTAGATCAATTCTAAGCATCAATAAATAACTATCGTGATACGACAAACCCGGTATGCCGTGCTAATCCCTCACCAGTTCTGGTCGTTCAAACACCGGTTTAACCTTCCCGTACTAAAACGGCAATTTCACGAACGAACCCCGAATTAAAATCCGAGACCGTCCTAATATCCCCTGCAGTATCCCCGTCAATATTAGTTCTAGGCTCCGGTTCAAACTCTTGATAAAAACACATCAAACTCTAGCCGGAGCTAAATTCAGCGATCCCGGCTCCGACCTAAATAATTGCCCAAATTCAGGGATTAAAACTAGAGGATTGATTACCTCGCTGCAGGAAGCTCGTATATGAAATCTGGGCTTAATCCGGCTTCCGGATACTCCGAAACCCTAATTTGGCTTATCGGGAATTCAAAAAATTTCTGAACCAAAAACTTGTTTTAAAGCTCTAAATCGATAAATCACGATGTATAGATGAATTATGCATTACTTACGGGATTTTTGGATTACTTATGCTCAAGAATTGAGCTCTGAGACTTCCCCCCTCGCTTCCCCTGAGCGCCCTCTGCTCTCGGTCCAGAAAATGGAAAGATGACGATGGTGGGAAATAATGGACGGGGGAGAAGGGGAAATGTTAATATATATGCGGCCCGACCGCTTATGATTTATTTTATATTAATTATATAATATATATATATATTATATAATTAATATAAAATATATATATATTATATATATAATTAATACGTATACTTATCCGATCGACCGATAATCCAATTTTCGCCGAAATACTATCAAAACGCTCGATTTTAAATCGTGAAATTTTCTAACGACCAAAATATGAGTTTTGCCGGAATGGGATGTTACATAAATTCCGAAAAAACAAATCATTTAATACAATTTAATCTCAGCCGTCGAGATCACACGTACGGTCAAGATCACCCAAGGTACGCCATACCCCGGAATTTACCCGGGGTACGATAGAAGCCACCATATATATATATATATATATATATATATATATATATATATATATATATATATATATATGTGGGGAGTTCTACGGTACCCCGGGTAAAATCCGGGGTATTTCATACCCAGGGTGATCTTCACCGTACGTGTGATCTCAACGGCTCTAGATTTTTCGTCATTAAATCACTTATTAATTATAACCATAATTACCAAAACCCTCTTACAATATATAAATGTTTGCAATTTAGTCTAATTAATTGGTTTGGGTGGGTGAAGTGATTTTTTGGATTGATCTATTGATTCAATTACCAACCCCAATACCCAACCAAACCCACGTCCCTAGAGAACTAAAGGACACCCTCCATCCACAGACCATCCCTAATTCCCTCTTCTTCTTCTTCTTCTTCTTCTTCCTCTTCCTTCTTCGTCCCGACTGTCCCGCCCAGATCATCCTCTCCTCGCTCTATCAATCCCATCTCGACCCTTCAAACTCCATCTCTCCCACTCCCTATCTCTCAAACCCACTACCCACCTCCATTTGCCTTCTTTTATCCCCTTCGTAGCCCAGACTTTCGATTGGGCGCAGCAGGATGAGCAGAACACTACAGCCACCATTGCTGACTCGGAACAGGAAGAAGAAGGTGAGGATTCGGCAGCCGAATAGGGCCCAGTGGCTTCCTACGCCGCCGCCAAAGATGGGGATGATGCAATTGAGGCGGAGGAGCCGTCGGAGGACGCCAAAGTGTTCGTCGGTAACTTGCAGTACGATGTGGATAGTGATAAATTGGCTATGCTCTTCGAGCAAGCTGGAACTGTAGAGATTGCTGAGGTTTGTTTCGATGGATTACTTCACCTTTTTTACTGGGTTTTAACTTCTAATTTGCATCTTTGTGAAATCTTCTTTTGTCTTTTGTTTGTTGGCAGGTCATTTACAACAGAGAGACTAATAGCAGCCATGGTTTCGGATATGTGACCATGAGTACTGTTGAAGAAGCTGAGAAGGCTGACTAATTATGTGGTAAGATCCATGTCTCTCAGCTTGAATAGTAGTTGAGTTGCTTTTCTCTATATCACTCGAGATCTCTAGGACTGACAACTCTAGGTTTAGGCTTATCGTTCCAGTACTTGAGCCACTGTTACTTCTTTTCTTGTATTTGTGCTTTTGCATCTTATCCTGTTCGGCTCTTTCAGGTTCCAAGGTCGTCCAAGAAGCTGTTTGAAGATAATGAATATGCTCTCTACACTGTAACGCTATTCCGTCGTGTGGCAGACAATTTCAGAACAACTTCTCTGGAGAAGGGGTTCCAAGTGAGTAATATGTTCCCGTGCATTTGATATAGTGTCATTTCATGCATGTAACAATTTTTTTAATCCTACTTGTAGTCATCATGTGGCTTGGGATGTGTTTTCATGTGTTGAACGAAGGATTTAGTTGGGAATTTGCTGATGTGGCTGTTCTGATCATGTGCTTCAGATTCGTGACTTTGAATATAGCTCCGAAGCACAGGAAGGTAGGAAGCAAGAGATGGACAAACTAGTTCAAGATCAAGAAAGTTTGAGAGGCTCTCTTTTGCAATGGTGTTACACTAGCTATGGGGAGGTAAACATATTTTTCCTTGCTTTCTTCTATTATAATTTGAGAGTGCACCCGTGCTAAATAGTGATTGAATGCCTGGTCTTTGCCTGCAATTTGATATCTATTGTTTCGTGGACCCGAGAATTTGAGCTTTTTGTCAAGAGCTAAAGATTACTGTTAGTTAATTGGAAGAGATAGAATCTATCTTTTGGCAAGTGAGATTTAGGCAATTGCTAGATGACATGTGCCTACCAGAACCAAAGTTGGAGAACCATGAGGTTTCAGTCTGAAATTTGTTTATTTCTAGCTCTTGTTTGTTAGTCTACTATTTTAGGTTTGATGATCTCTCTCAAAGAAGATGGAGGTTTCAACCTAATTTTTTGTTTTTGGGCCTGACATATGTCCCTCAAATGTTCAATTACGCTACAGTGTTGATAGCTGATCCTCTTTTCCTGCTCCCTCTTTTCCCCGCAGGTTTTCAGCTCATGGATGCACTTCTGTGCTGTGCGTATATTTGCAGAAAGCATTTTGAGGTTCTTACTACTGTTTCTCTTCCTTTATGCAGTTTCTTGATGGGAAATGGTTTCCTGAAAGAGAACTGGAATTCAATTGACATACCCTTGGTTCTGTATGTCCTTCATCCGGCATCACGCAATCGCGAAACAACCCGGGGACTAGCAGGCGTCATCTCCCCAAGCTATAGTGAATGGTTTTCTGCACAAGTTATGTTCCATTGACTGATGAAATAGTTCAGGTGAATGTCTCGCGGGGGCACTCTATGTAGACATCTGTTGTCCGAGACTGTAACGATGTTAGGTTTCCTTGAATTTGTGTGGATATAGTTGTTATGTCAGCTCTTTGTATGTCCACATTGCATTTGGGATCTGGCAGGAAACCCGAACATTGGTTTAGACACAATTACTTGATCCGTAACATGATGGAAACCTCTGTTCTGTTTCACTCAATATGTCCAGGGGCTCATAAGTGTGATATAATAAAACATTGTTCCCAGGATTGTATCCCGAAAAAGTACCAGAATATCCATGATCTTAAAGAACCAAAAAGTACCCAAAAAAGTACCAAAAAATACCCAATAAAACACCCTAACAACCAATAACTCATAACATCCAGTCGAATAACTCAAATAGCCAAGTTGTTTCTCCTTTGCCGTTCACTTCTCGTACGTGGCTTCTTCTACAACATCGAATACACTAACGTTAGTACGAAAAAGATATGGATGCAACAATATTATGTAGACATGCACAAGGAACTCTTAATATTACCCTTTGTTGGTCGTCAATGTCAGTAGTACCTTCATCCTCAGCACTATCCTCCTCTGATGACTCCGGACAAGTTCTTCTATTGTGTTGCGTTGAACCGCATCTTCTGCAATGTTTTTGTCTCGCCTTAGTTAATGTTTCTGTCTGGTTTTGGATGTCCATGGCATCACCATCCTCTCCGTCTTGATCTCCATTGTTATTGTCTTCTTCCTCAGTCTGTGGGGTTGTCTCTGTAGTAGTCGGCCTTACATACCCAGCAGGGTGTGGACAAGTGGATTTATAATGAGCCCATTCCCCACATCTACTACACTGTCTTTGCTCTCCTTTCTTCTTCTTCTTCTTGTTTTGTTGACCCCCTGAACCTTTATGTTTCACCGGCAATGGATCCAACAACTTCTCTTTTGCCTTCGATCTATGAACGTCTGGTATCTCAGTAGTACCAATGTGCATCGTGTCTAGCGATTCACATAATGATGAAATTCCTTCACGAGCAAACTTGAAGCAATCACTAGATTTTGCTCCTTTTACGCATAATTGTAAGCTGGCTTGTTGAATAATCCCATACCTGAAAGTCAGCATAGTTTAGTTAATGCAGAATATACATCACAACTACAACTAGAGCTTTTATAAGTATCAAAACCATATGAAAACAAGTCGGCTGGAAAGTATAGCTCATGATATCATAATCAAACCTCCCCACCAGCTCAGAATACTCCAAAATGATAGGGATTCTTTAGTATAGAAATAAAGTAATAGAGGAAACTTCTCAATTTCTCTGATCAAACTTTTTCTCTGATCAAACTTCCCAATTTCCAGCCAACCTTGTTTATGGTTTTCCTCAAAGGGGAAACTTCCCAATTGCATTGCCATCATTGCTAGCTAGCTAGCTAGGCTGAAGCTAGCCTCCACAGCCCTGATAATAAGACAATTAATAAGACAATTAATTGCTTTATAGAATAATCACAAACCTGAATGTGAAAAGTCGGCCCTCATCGATATTATCTTGTTGCGGTAAACTCTCCAGTGTCTTTGGCTGCTGTGACCACCTTAACCGTACCAAGTCTTTTGGAAGTTCCAGTATCCCCTCTTCTTTTAGTAGAAAAACCATATGACAGCATGGTATCCCCATATAGTTGTAATAATTACAACTACACTCCATGGAAAAGGGGTCAGTTGTGTATTCGACCCGGAAAACCTTCTCTTTGCCAGACATTGTCATCATGTACGTGCGCTCATTTGGCGATACCTCTGAATCCATTCTTATGCAATCTCCAGACTTTTCAACCTCATCTCTAAATAAAAAAAATGCCTTTTTTGTGAATAAGGCAGAAGCACTCTTCTGAAGTGATACTAAGACATTGGACGTAATGCTCCGTTCATGATGAATGGATTCAAAATCAGCGTGTAGCTCAATCTCCCTCATATCTCTACTCCAACGATCAAAATTAATAAAAAACTCAAGTAGATTGTTATCATTTTGGATATAATTGGTCAGCTGGGAGTTCATTCCTTCACATCTAGAGGTTGTTGCCAAACCTGCAAAGAACTTAGAGCCCAAGTATGTATACGCCCATTCAGTTCTTTGGTTAAATAGATTGGAAACCCAATTGTTGTGCTGCAGTGAGCACTCTTCAACCAATGATTTCCACTTAGCTTCAAAATCTGATGGTTCCAAGTCAGCAAAAACAAAATACTGCCATCGAGTAACAAAAATAGGAAATTTCTTCAATCTACTGATAATGGTCTTGTCTATGTGCCAAGAACACAGACGGTGTTTTGCATCGGGGAATATTTGTTGAATTGCATTGCGCATAGATTTATCCCCATCCGTAATAACAGTCTTAGGAGCTACACCGCCCCCCACCCTTCTCTTCAAAGCATCCAAAACCCATACATAATTTTCTTCTTTTTCATTAGCTAGAAAAGCACATCCAAATATGCAAGTGTTTGAATGGTGGTTCACACCTAAAAGTAAAACCAATAAAATGTTATGAAAAGAAGCAAAATAATAAGAGAAATGGTGGCTCTAAACTAATGTTATGAACATCCAGCAACACATCCAAACCCCTACTGTATTAGGCTTCTAAAATCAAAAGGAGGTTAATATATTATGAAACAAATGACATGATTAGTACCTGAAAAAATGACTAGAGGCATCTTATAAATGTTCCTTTTGTACGTCGCATCAAATGCCAGTAATTCTCCAAAACATGCATAATCAGCCACCGAAATCGAATCTGCCCAGAACAAGTTAATAAGCCTGTCTTCACCATCTTTCTTTAGTTCAATGACGAATTGTTGGTCGGCACTAAGTTTTGCTTGTAAATAGGCCAGGGCTGTAGCAGCATCACCTTCACGAATCTGTTCTCTTCGTTCTTTGTCCACATAGTTATATGCATCTTTCCTTGTGAACCCCACCTTCTGATAGCCTCCAGCTTCTGCAACGGCTAGTGAAACGATTTGATGCGTTTCCATGCCTGCAGCTCTTCGAAAATTAATTGCCGCTTTAATTGCATCACTCATACGAAGATTCCCTTTCATGTAGTGCTTGTACATCTGGGGAATCAGTGCATCAGAGTGTTCGTTATCAAAAGTGTCCACAAACCAATTCGAAGTAGACTTGTCATATCGAACACGCATCCTAGCATTGCAGTCAAACCTTGTCTCTGCTCTTGGCCTCTCTTTCGTGCTGTCTGTTTTTTACGCCTTTTTCCCTCACAAGAACATACAAACCAGCGCCATATCGGGGCATTGTCCTTATCTCGACCGATTTCCTCTTTTCTAACATCAAACCCAGTGGCCAGCCCGTAGTCCCTCCAGAAATCATATGCTTCATCTAGATCTTTGAATCTGAGTTTCATAATATCTTCTGTCTGTAGAAGTAGTAGATTGGCAAAATCATCTTCCTCAAAATTTGAACTAGTATCCCCGTTTGGAGGAGTTCCCTGCGCTGCCATGTCCTCCTCCTCGGTGTGACGATTATTAGCATCATTGGCATCGTTTGGATTAGTTTCCTCCTCTGCCATGTTCGTGAGATGCTTTGTGCAACTCTGAAAATCGCAGCTAACAAGTATTGATTTCCCTACGCCTCTAGGGATCTTACAATATATTAAGGTGTTTGATAAAAAGAGGCCCTCCACGTCAGCCCTCAAGCATTCTCCGCAACTCTCGGTCATCCGAATTTTAATTTTTAAATTTTTTAAATATTTTCCTCTGTAACCGTTTTCCCGAGGCCTTCTTTGTTCAGTTTTGTAATAAGGCTTCCCGCATTAGAAATAAACTTGCCACAATTTTTCTCCTTCCTTTTCTGTTTAATTAAATAGATTTGTCAATCCGATACTCTCTTTTTTTAACATTAGTCAAACCCAGACCGAGGTCCGTATACATAGTCAGAGAACATAATCTATTCACCTTCATAAAAAAAAATAGTCAGAGAACATAATCAATTCACGGGCGAAATTCGACTAGTTTAATAGAAATTTATGACAGATGTAGTTTCCATGTTCATAACAACTTCTCTTATTATGTTTCATTAAATGAGGGGATAAATGTAGAAGTTCCCTGAGTCCGAATAAGACTTGCCACAATGAACTTCTACGCTTCTACTTTATTCCTAAAGAGAGAGAGAGAGAGAGGGGGTTAAAAAGCCCCTATGTCTCGGCTATTAAACCACACCATTCGAATGACAGCCAATACCTCTGCCTAAGCACTTAATTAAATCACAAACCCCCTGTTCCATTCGAAAGTTAGCACAAGTCATTTGCGTTTATAACATCATGGGGAAGGAAGGGTATAGTTCTTCAATACTCTTTGTAATTACTTTTAACTTATGTTATGTGATTTTGGTGTTTTTGTTCTCCTCGTCCACATGTTGATTTTTTATACAATGATATTAGGGAGGAGATCAATATGCCCAACAATATTTCTCGCGGCCAGTGGACTACACGGCTAACGCGTTCTGCATCAAAGGCTTTGAACTATGTATCGCCCGCGAAGAAAACTAAACTGGGAGATGATGTGACCCCCCCAAGGACGCCGTGCTCGAATGTGATTGTTCTTGACGGTGAATCTGGAGTTGACCATTACGAGAAAGATGTGGGAAACAAAAGCAATTTTCCAGCACAACAATTGTCGACGAAGGTATGGTAATCCAAAGTAAACTAGATAACTTAAACCTGGCAGTTTCACTCCATGATTCCCTCTTCGTGATGTCTATATTATGTTTGGGGTTTGATGGTTCCGCCTGTCTTCATAGGATCTCTCTATATGTGGTTGGTTTAATCCTTACTTGAATCCTACTGCCATATATGAGAGTTGAGTTTGGGGTTTGATGAGATGGAGGATTAGAAAAGCACACCAGGATTCTTAACTCTCTTAAAATCAGTGGGAGAGGTTAGGTCAACAGCTAAATTGCTTCAAAAGCTTTGTTTGTTCTGTTTTTGTTTTAGCTGGTGATGTATGCATACTGAACTTTCTCAATATTGAATGGCTTGAGTTTCATTTGAATGCCACTTAGTAGATCTGCTGTTTAATTGGCCTTACGGGATACTATTATATGTTTCTAGCAATCACTTTGGTTGCTGTGCAAGTTTACTTGCAATGCTGATGGTGATAGGTTCCCTGTTGAGCAAACGAGGTATATTGGGGGATTTGAAGGTGCATATCAAAGCCTGTTGAATTCACATCCCACTATTTTTTACTCCTGTTAGATCTATAGATTTCCTACTCAAATTGCTTGCTTATACCGCTATCAAATGTCCTTTCAGTTATTCTTTATTTTAGCCTACCTGCCTCTGTATGATTTTCTGTTACTGCCTCACTAATGGACTTGCCTCACGAGGATAATTATACTTTTTGGGATGTGAATTCAACTACTCATGTCAACATGTTAACTTCTTCAGTTCTTAGGATCATTATCTCTGTGAATTAATTGCTGGTTGATACAAGGCTACAACTAGATACTTTTTATAATTATGTTTATGCTTTTTAACTGTTTGTATCTACATTTTCTAATTAAAAAGATTTGGATCATGCATTTCAGTAGCCATGCCTGTATCTTTGAATTTTATTATGCCTTCTTTTCCCCAATCCCCATCACATGATATTCTTCTAAGTACCTTTTGATGTTTATTGCAAGCTTAGTTATAGTAAACGCTCGCATTTATTTGTCCATTGTTTCATATAAAAAGGGCAGATCCTGCTTCTCTGTATCTTGAGTTACAAGCATTGCTATTGGTTTGCCTTGAAGGATTCCATTTTCGGTTCAATCATCCCTCCATTTCATGTATGAAGAGTATAATCAGTGTTGTTTTAAGTAATTGAAAAAGCCCTTCCACATTGGCGTCCAGTTCTATATATTACATTACTACAGTCTCGAGCAATTTTTGGCTTATGAGCAATAGTGGGCATATCATGATAACTTGAAACACATTGCTGTCAACTAATGCCGTTACCCATCATTGTAGGGTACCACCAGGTTTAAGCTCCCTCAAACCGTAAGCTACAGTGAGGAAGATGTGAAGCTTGCTCACTATATCTTTGCTGAAGATCTTCCACCTGACGAACCCTTGGTCCAAACTATGATGGATGTTTATAGCCGGAAGACATTGTGGAGCTTATGCCCTGACTCATGTGTCCATGCCGATGTAAGTTCTCCTATTATACTACTAATTGGTAATTTGTTTCACTTTTTTAACTATAGTGTTTATATATTCTGTGTTTATGTTCTGTGGCGCATTAGGTAATTACAGCATTAGCTTGCCACTTGACCCTTGACGAACTTTGGAGGGATGCTGATCGTGGAAAACGGGTGTGCTTTCTGCCTACAGAATTCCAGGTATATATCGATTTTACCTTGTAATTCTATTCTAGTTAAGCATACTTGGTTACTTTATTAAGCAAGCTCAATGTTGAATTCTTTAATTTTTTCTACGAACAGGACATTGTCATGAATTGTGGCATAACACCTACTATTGCATTAGAGGCATTCCGTACAAAATTCCTTTCAAAAGCTCTAAACTGCAGAAAGGTCATGACTTCCCACGCCACGCATATTATCGTGTCCTCAATTTAGTAAGCTGATTGTGTGATTTCTCGTATATGTGTAGGTGTGTCTGCCCATGCAAGATACTATGGATGATGGAGGAATTCATTGGTTTTTAGCTATTATTTTAGTGGACAAGAAACAAGTCCAGATCCTGGATTCGTTTCCATCTCAGGAGCGGAAAACAGTCCGTATGAGTGCGGTGGAAACAATGGTATCTTTAGACTTTTCGCCTAAAACCAAATATTATATTTTCCCAATAAATTACGTATTCTTGTTTGTAACTTTTGCAGGTTGAATTTATGAACGAATTGTTCAAGGCTTTGCATAAGGAAGTGAAAACCCTATATGCAGCACCAAAGATTAAGGACTTTTCTTGTTCAACTCCTTCACTTGCAGAACAACATCACAAGTATGAATGTGTGTTTTTTCTAGCATCATTTGAATATAAAATTAACTTTTAGCTTACTTACATAATGTATCTTCTTACATAGGAATGATAGTGGGATTTGGGTGTGCGTCTGGATGATGGGTGCAGCCTGGGATTCTCACTATGGCATTTGGGTAAGAAATCACATTCCGCCTAGACGACCTCTTTGTATGGTACATTACAAAAATGTCTATGTAGAACAAAGTTTACTAATACATTATATCTGTTGTTCATACAGCCTTGTGATGATAGGAGGAGAATGCAGGTGGCTCTGTACCTTGTCAAAGAGCCAACAAATTACATAAGGCACAAAGTCCTCAAGAAAGCAATTGCAAATGCGCCAAGGTTTAAAGCTCAGACACTTGAATACGAAGAAGCAAGCAATAAGAAGGCAAACAAGGGGTTAAGAGATACCTAGTGTGCTCCAGATTTTCATCATTCATTTCCTTTTATCCTAAATTTTGAACTTGTTTATGGTATTTTTTGGAGACAGTTCCTTGCATTGGCAGATTGACAATGTTTGAAATTACATTTTCACTTGTTGCGGATTTTTGTGATAGTGATACATTGCATTTGTGAGGTGAATGTTAGATTGACAATTTCTAATCGAACTCGTCCTATTTAATCTTTTCGACCTGTTTCGAAAGAGATATTGTCTAGTCTGTAGATGGGGCAAGAGGAGCATGAGTACTCCCCTCTACTTAACTCACTCTGATTCGACCCAATGTTGACTTGTATGATCTAATCATAAGCTTAAGATTGATAGCATGCAATGCTATTTGGAGAAACTATTTGAGTTTACCAACACCGTGCATCAAATAAACCTGATATAGGACAATCCAATCCAACCAAGCTGCTAATAACCCTCAGTTTCAACTTTCAATTGAGTTTTCAGTATAGAGAATTTCTCCAGGCGTAATTTATGAAACCATCATTGGATCAATCAGCTAAGAATTTTATTTTGTCCTAACAATACAATGTATAAAATGGTGGCAAGTAAACCCTATCTTAGAAATGAAAAAAAGAACCTCTCTTTTCCACACAACACAAATGCACCAGCACCAGACAATACGCTTCAATCTCCCCACAACTCCCATACTTTAGAACTCGGGCTTCAATAGTCTCTAGCAGGTCGGGCCAACTCCCTGGAAACACAACTCCATCGCACAGCAGAGTAAAAACAACTTCCTGCATATAAACACACTGAAAAAACAGATGACTACGAGACTCCTTTGTTGCTCCACAAAGCACACAGGTACTATCATTGATAACACCCCACCTTTTGATTTATATCTCTTGTATCAATTCTATCAATGATAATCAACCAAACCTGCACACTGTTTCGAGGCAAGACATGCTGTTCCAAATGACTTTCCACCAACTGACTCGAGGCTGCCTCCTTCTGATAGTGTCCCAAACAGCCAAGACTGAAAATTTGTCCAACCTCTTACCCTGCCATGTAACACAGTCCAAAGCCACATCCATTCTAAATCTCAACCATGGTCTGATTTTTAGAATTTGCTTCCAGATCCAGGAGCCTGATGATGTAAGTCTTGCTTCCCAAATTGAGACTCCCCTGAGTCTATAACGATAAATCCAGGCTACCCAAAAGCTGCCCCCTGAATAAGGAGCAACCATATAAGATGAGCCAGAGATGCTACATTCCAGGAAAGAAAATCCTTCAATCCCAAGCCCCCTTCTTTCTTCGGTATAGCCAGATAATCCCAAGCAACTTTGGCTCTGCCCGACTGATCACCATGCCAAACAAAATCAGAGCAGATTTTCTGTATACTTTTGAGCACCTTCTTAGGTATAAGGAAGATTGCCATCCAATATTGAATCAAAGAATACAAAATTGACTCCACTAACTGAAGTTTCCCAGCACCTTATGGAAGGTAGGATGTGAACCTAATAGCCCTTGCAAATTCCAAGAACCACTTCCCCCCGGGTTTCCATCACTTGAACACATCTGAATGCACAAGAAAAACAAGAGCATGATATTCTTAGAAGAGAATGAAACATAACATCAAATGGCTTCCTTAAGCAGCCAACAGAAAAGAACAACTAGCAATTGGAAACACAAAGAAAATTATTAGAGACGTACAACAAAGGTTGCTGAACCTAAAAGGGGTAAAAAAGAAACAAAAGAGAATCCACCTGACCAGTGGCTCATAAGAAGAATGATACAATATCAATAACACAAAGTTGAATGAGACCCACTATCAATTACCACTGGACTCGCCAATCGACTATATAAAATTATGATTACTCAAGCAATTATAACACAAGACTGCTCCAGTTCGATAAGATCAACAGCATAGCAAATCAACACTCAACGCATCGCCACAAACTAAAATGTTTTCGGTAAATTCCCTCGGCGTCGAGCTCAATTGCATTGGGCATGTACCCAGAAAGCTAAATAGATTATCTAACTGATTAGCCGCCGGCGGAGGGACGATTCTCCGATTGGGAATGATTCAAAAAAAGCAGCGGTTTTCACTTGAATGGAGCTGGGGGAAACCCTTTTTGAGAGAGAGGGTCAGAGAAATTCTCACCGGAAAACAAGAAGGAATCAGCTCAGACGATATAGCTTCGATGGAGTAAACAACGACGACGAGATCTTCTTTTACTCGTCCCTCCCTAATAGCCGCCAATGCCATAAACCGGCGAGAACGATCAAAAGCTTCTTCATCACCATCTTCGTTTCAATTTCATTGCCGCACCCATTTCCTCTCCAGTGCGCGATCTCGAACGTCGACGACAGCGCGATTATGTCCCCTTTCAATTCGTTCAAATCCCTAACTTTAAAGGAGAGGCTCGCGCTGTATCCTCCGAATTCCGCCCAGGCGCTGATTTCCCCCAACCTCTTGGCGTGCCTCCCGTCGATTACACCCGATTGGACAGCCACCTCGAAGAAGTAATGGATTCATTCGCCGCCGTAGGAGAGGATGGAGAGGATCACTTCCTGTTGGGAGTGGAAGTGGGAGGAGCGGGAGCCACGGCGGAGGGAATTCAGGATGGAAATGCCTTCCAGCCGAGGCCGACGCTGGACTCGAAGCTCTTGAGGCGGTTGGGTAGAATTAGGGTTTCGGGGAGGATCGTGGAGGAGAGGATGATCTGGGCGGAATCAATATGAAGGTGGAGGGACAGTCGGGACGAAGAAGGAAGAAGGAAGAGGAAGAAGAAGAAGAAGAAGAGGGAATTAGGGATGGTCTGTGGATGGAGGGTGTCCTTTAGTTCTCTAGGGACGTGGGTTTGGTTGGGTATTGGGGTTGGTTAATTGAATCAAAAGATCAATCCAAAAAATCACTTCACCCACCCAAACCAATTAATTAGACTAAATTGCAAACATTTATATCTTGTAAGAGGGTTTTGGTAATTATTGTTATAATTAATAAGTGATTTAACGACGAAAAATCAAGAGCCGTTGAGATCACACGTATGGTGAAAGATCACCCTGGGTATGCGGTACCCCGGATTTTACCCGGGGTACCGTAGAAGGCACCATATATATATGTGGTAAATACATATATATATATATATATGGTAAAGACTGGTATACTCAAGGTGATCTGACCATTAGATGTACTTAGATGAGCTCCGACCAATCTCAACGATCAATTATTATTTTTCATTAAAATTAAACTTTGGGTTTGAGTTTAACGAATCAAGAGCCTAGGGTTTATCTATTAGAGGTTAGGGTATAGTATCATACTTCAATCTCGATTTAGTTCATGTTCTAGATAGATATATCTCAATAGGAGTACCAGAAGTATAATATACTCCAGGAATATATATATGTTGGCTACGGTGCACTCACTTTTTTGGGTGCTTTCAATGCACCCAACTCTAAAAGTGGCTATAATACATCAAATTTTGAATTTTAATTGGTAGCATTAGTCTAATATGATGATATAAAATAAAATCACAACCAATCAATCCATTACCCTAACCCCTTAACCTTGAATTTTGAATCCCAAACCAAAATCCCAAAGTGTATACCTAAACCCTAACCCTAAATCCCTAAATCCTTGAAATTAAAATAAATCTTGAATGAGTTTTTTGCAAATTTATGTGTTTCTTGTTCATAATATCATAAGGGACAATTGATACCATTTTGACATGAATCCATGTTTGGAATGACAATTATGAGGCGAGTGCATTGAGTGCACAAAAAAAAAAGTGAGTGCACCAAATACGCCACCATCTATATATATATGAAAGTAATAGTTCATTAAATGATTAAGAATAATAATCATTCGAACGAAATGGTTTTCACGCCGGCCGGCATGCCACCGATTGTAACTAGTTCAACCGATACCGCTCATAAAATCGGCGTGACATCACCGGTATGACTGGCATGATCGATATACGAATCTCTAAGTAAAATGACCTTATTTTAGTGAATTTAATTGATAATAATTATTTTATTATTTATTTTATGAGTATAAAAGTTAAATATTGATGTTATTTGTTGGATTCAAGTATAAATGTTTAGATATTGACGTTAAACGTCATGTTTAAATATGAATATTTATAATTTATTTTTGTACTACATATATAATGCAAATAGACTTAATACTGCAAACAAATATCTTTCCCATGGTTAGTAATAAAATAATAAATTGAAGAAGAAATGAATGGCTGTACAAACCAATCTTGTCTTTGACGAAAGCACGTTGTGAGTGGTTCAATGGGCCGTTGCAGTGGAGCTAGGGACCAAAAGCACGTCCTGTGGAGCAGGACCAAAGGCAGGCCCAAATCTTATTCATTGGGAGGCCTTGTTCACACAGCTTACTTGCACATACGGAAATCAAAACGCAGAGCGCCATAATTATGAGTAAAATGACGTGATTGACCTTCTGGGAAACACTCCCAGAGCCGGAATTTCAAAATGGAGAAAAAGTGAGTGATGAATTGCTATTATATATGTTCTAGATAAGCAAAGTTGTAGTACTTCAAAAGTTGCAAAATAAAAAAAAAGTTTCATGACATTTGGATTGTGGAGCACAAAGTTATGGTTTTCCAAAGTTTTTTCTGCCGCGGTGAATGCATTCACTGCGGTTGACAACAGCGGTGATGCCCAAACATGTGTATTTTGAGAAATTTTTTTATAACGTGTGTATTTTGGAATTTTTTTTAAAAACAAATGTATTTTGAGATTTTTTCCTATATTCTCTGCAGCTCACAGAAGATGTTGCGAAGCAACACAGAAAGACGTTGTGAAGCAAGAAGCTTTAACCAACAGTGTCAGAAAGCATCTTGCTGACACTGTTGGTAAGAAAGGAACCATGCTCTTGAAGGTGGACCTTGCTAAAGCCTACGACAGAATCGATTGGACTTTCCTGCAAGAGACACTTCAGCAAGTTGGGATCCCTGATAACAGCGTCTTTACAATCATGCAATGCGTGACTTCTGTCGAGATGCAAATCCTTTGGAACGGCAGAGAGACAGAGGCATTCACCCCGACTAGAGGATTACGGCAAGGATGTCCCTTATCCCCTTACTTGTTTACTCTCTGTGTTGAACGCCTTAGTCACTCGATCAGTAGGAGAGTTAGGAACAAGAGTTGGAAGCCTGTGTCCCTTTCTGTGGGAGGGCCTCCCCTGTCTCACCTCTTCTTTGCCGACAACCTTGTGCTGTTTGCCGAGGCAAAGGCTGAGCAGGCGGAGGTTATCCTTGAATGTTTGAATGAGTTTTGTGAAGCTTCTGGTGAGCTCATTAGTAAAGAAAAATCTAGGGTGTACTTTTCCAAGAACACTAAGCTGCCAGTTAGGAAGAATGTTTGTGCCTGTCTAGGAATTCAACAAACTGATGACTTAGGAAGGTATCTAGGTGTCCCTGTCATTCACGGAAGATTGACTAAGTCAACCTATAGATATATCATTGATAGAATTGATCAAAAGTTGACTGCTTGGAAGGCTAAAACTCTGTCCCTTGCGGGTCGAGTGACTCTGGCAAAGGCAGTCCTTGAGTCCATTCCTTCTTACGCTATGCAAACAACTATGCTTCCTATTTCAATCTGTGAAACAATTGATAGGAAAATTATGTGGTTTGTCTGGGGCTCTCAAGAGGGGAAAAGGAAAGTCCACTTAGTGAGTTGGGAAACTATTTGTAAGCCTAAGAATCAGGGGGGACTTGGTCTCAGATCGGCTCGTAGTCTTAACATGGCGTATATGGTGAAACTTGCTTGGCATATTCTTAATAATGAGGATGACTTGTGGGTACAGGTGCTACAAGGAAAATACTTTCATCACAGGAATGACACTATCACTAGGATGAAAACAAGCAATCATTCGAGTCTTTGGAAAGGAATCTTAAAAGCGATGCCTTTCATGCGAAAAGGACTTGTCTGGAGCCTGAGAGATGGGACTGATACTGGGTTTTGGTCGCATCCCTGGCTGGATAATGATACGACTTTGGAAGATCTCGCCTTGAGCGATCTGTCAGATGAGGAAAGAACGACGAGTGTGGCTGACTGGCTGGATGGGAATGGTGAGTGGGATTGGGAACGACTCAAAGTCCTTCTTCCTAATGAAATTCTTGTCCGCATTGCAGGAATGGAAGCTCCTAAAGCAGGACTGGGGGAGGACAGAACGATTTGGGGAGCTGAGAAGGACGGGAGGTTCAGACTTCGCTCAGCCTACAACCTTGTGGTGGACGAGAAGGAAGAGGAACCAATGGACGTGTGGAAGCAGCTTTGGAGATGGAATGGCCCCAATAGGGTCAAACTCTTCCTCTGGTTGGTGACGCACGACCGCCTCCTCACCAACGCAGAGAGAAAGAAAAGACAACTCACTTCAAATGATGAATGCAACTTCTGCAAAGATGAAGTGGGAACAACTGAACACATCATTCGTAGATGCAAAAAGACGGGAGGAATTTGGAACCACTTCAGTTCCAAAGTTACAGAGAAGAACACCAACATCGACTTCCAGACTTGGCTTAATCGAAGCCTCAAAGCTGATGAAGTCGGAGTTGATTTTGGCATTGTCTGCTGGCTTCTCTGGAAGCAGAGAAATGGTGAAGTTATGGAAGGAAAGAAATTCTCTGAGGAAGGAATGATCTGCAGGATCCAAGCATGGTTCAGCATTCATCAGCAAGCACTCAGAACGAACAAGACTTGCTTCGGGCCTGTTACCAGCCAAAGAACAATCGAAGATATTGGGTGGAAGCCTCCAGAGGAAGGATGGATACAATTACAGACTGATGGCTCAGTCATCACCAGCTTGAATTCTGCTGCTGCAGGAGGTTTATTAAGAGACAGACTTGGGAGATGTCTGGATGCTTTTTCTTGCAATCTTGGGGATTGCTCCATAACTAGCGCTGAGCTTAAGGGGGCAGTGGAAGGACTTGAGAGAGCCTGGAGAAAAGGATACAGGAAGATTGAGCTTAATATGGATTCCATGACGGCGATTAGCATCATGAACAGTTGGAAGGATGATAACCATCGTCATGGACTCCTTGCCGCGAAGGTTGGGAATCTGATTAGTCGAGAGTGGGAGGTTAAGATTAGCCATGTTTTTAGAGAGCAAAACAAGGCAGCTGACTTTTTAGCCTCTAGAGGACATTCTCTTCATTTTGGCATACATCATATCAGTGTATGCGAGCCAGATCTTACTCATTGGCTTTTGTATGACTCTTTGGGGATTACCATGCCCCGTTCGATTTCTAATATGAATTAGGATGACATCGTCCATCTTTCAACCAAAAAAAAAAAAAAGCATCTTGCTCCAGATTTACAAAATCTCACTGTGAGTTAACTTTGCAATAATCAACAGATCATATGAGAGATGATAGCTCAGACGCAACAAAAAATTTCGACTATGTTAGAGAGCCATGTCCCGAGTTTGTGATTGTGTGTATTTCTTAAGCATGCTTTTTGTTCCCTATTGCAGGTAATGTTTAAGAACACAACGTATACACAAGGTTTCTACGCTGGCAGTAACTGTCAACCAAGGCGTCTCTGAGTCCCTGTTCTCCGGCAGAATTTAGGATCAGAAGCTGGGGAACGATACGTGTAGGTTTTTCAACAACCTTTACATCAGAAGACATTACAGTTAGTCGGTATTTTCCAGTCTTTCATACCATTCCAGTCTTTTAAACATAAACTGCCTAGGATATGTAATTGAGTAGCGAACCCACAGTTTGCCGCTGATGATCGGCTATCTAATCAAAATTAGGAGAAATAATTATGTGGGAATTCTACACTCTACTGGTTCGGTTTTGGTACAAATCACCACTGATTACAAGCTCCTTGGGTATTTACAAATGCGTTTTTGAAAGTTGAAACCATGCAGTAAATATAATGTTGTGTCATTTCGGGGGTTGTCTAGATCAGATCTGTGCCCTACATAGTCGTTTCGGACTGGTATCCTGCAGTTTCGACAAGCACTCACAGAATGTTGCAGCGGCTCCATCCTGATGAGGAAACTGTTGGAAAGCAAAAAAGTTGGATTCTCAGTACACTAACACAAATCCATTAAGCAGCATGATTACTGCAATCTTCATTTGAAGCTTAACTGTTATCAACAATGACAAATTTTTTTTTTTTTTTACAGTATCGTGTGCATGTATTTTTGGTTCCCGCACATAATCAGGACAATAGCAATCAATTCTGACCTCTCCTGGAATCATTAGCAGCAGCAGCAGCAGCAGCGCGACGACGAATCTCTTGGTGACCACCATTGGCTACTACACCATGCGGCACAACTCTAGCGTATCGAGCACGAAACGGCCACAGCGCCGCCAGCTGCCGCCTCAGCCACCACCACATCCCTCCCCGGCCGCCTCTGCCTTCTCCCTCCCCGCTCTCATCTTCGACCCCCGGAACCTCCTGGCGGCAAACCGGGCAGGAGTTGTGCAGCCTCAGCCATGGGACGATGCAGTCTTCATGGTAAATGTGTTTGCAGGGCAGCTCCCTGGCTTCTCCTCCCACCTTGAACTCTTCCATGCACACCGGACACGAGTCGTGGTCGTTGCGGGCCAAGTGCGCCGCCTCGATCTCCACCCTCGGGATCGCGTCGATAGCCGATTCGGGAGCCGGAGGCGGGCCCGGGCGGTCGTCCTGAGTGATCTCTTCTATCAAGTCGTTTAAGCTTTGTCCGAAGAAGTAGTCCCTCGGGTTTGGCCTTGGTGGCAAGAGAGCGGCACCGGGTTGGGTCGGGGGACTCGAACTCGGGTCGCCGCCAACGGGTCGGATGATGATCCATGTTCTCGTCCTCCGGCCCTAGTGGAGTAGAATAGTTTTTAGGTATTGAGCTGTATTGTTCATCTAATGCGCCTACTCTTTTGGTCATAATAGAAATGAAGATGATGCATGTTTCATTTTTGTTAAACAGATTCAACAATTATTATCCAAAATGGTCACATAACCTTGGTTGCTGTAAATAATGGTCACACAATTTCTACATTTTTTAAAATGGTAGTGGATCTTTGAAAAATTTCCTAACAAAATATTCAATTCTGTCTATTATCCAAAATGTATCTAGCTACCTACCTCCCGCAAATTAAATAGTAAATATGATTCTTTCAAAATGCAAAATATTAGCCAAATCTTTCGAATTTTCAACATGATGATGAGTTGAAAGAGACACGTGGCGGTCAACATTCCAAAATTTTAGTATTTTTATCTAAGAAAAGAGTTACCAACGGTAAGTGACAAATGACCAATGTTTTGATGCATAAAAAAAAATTGACTAGCATTTTGTACTTACTAATAATTTGAAAAGTTTGGCCAATAAATAGTATATTTGTATTTACCCAATGAATTAATATATATCAAAGTCTAATCAAGCACCTGAACTAGTTAGGGAAAAATAAAAGCTATATGAGCATTATGTAGAAAAAAAAACATTTCAGGTGACCATTTTGCATAATTCCCTAAAAAAGGTTTCCCCAAACAGAAAGAGGCTCACTCACCGGCTCTCCGCCGTCGTCTAAGCTTCTATGCCTGCGCCGTCCTCTGGTAGTTGGAGGAGGGTTGAACTCCGTTCCGCCGCCGGCTCCTCGCGGCGAAGGGTCTCGTCCCCGGGAAAGTGGAGGGTCGAGGACGAGAGAGAGAGCGTCGAGCAAGCGAGACTCGGGGGAAGGCTCGAACAAGTCGCTGAAATCCATGACGAACCTGGGCTGCGCGGCGGGGCGGCGGCGCATGTTGATCTCCGAAACGAACTGCCCGGAACATCTGGGACACGTGGCGGTTTCTTCTGAACGGCTTGTTGTGGCGATGGATACAGCGCGATGGCATTGGAAGCACCAGTACAGCTGGAACGGTCTGGAGGGGCTGCCGCCGCCGGTTGTCGTTGTCCTTGTCGGTGGGCTGAGTGACATGATGATGATGATGATGATATCTATTATTGGTAAGACTTGTTATCAATTGTTGTTGGGTTTCCATTTGGGGCGGGGAGGGGGAGCGAAATATCAATAGAGGATTGATTGAGATACCAAGTTGGGATAGAATGTTGCAAGGAAAGAATAATTGTCTTGTGGGTTTGCTGTAGGAAGCTGAAGGGAAGATATATACCACATTCTTTTGCTTCATGAGACTTGGGAAAACCCTTCAGTTGAAGCAAAAGGAACCAAAGGGTTTGTAAGTTATCTATTTGCCTATTTGGGGGGTTTCCTTGGTTTGGTGTTTTCTTGCTTCCTTTGTTTGTTCGATTTTATCGACCTACCATCAAAACTGCAATCCATATATCCATTATGTCAAGGAGTGAATTACCGTAACATACCGGTGGTTCGATCAAAGTAACCTCACATCGAAAGTGAAATTGTTAGGTGCAGTTAAACGGTAGAATTAACCACGGCTGAACCATAAAATATCATAGCATGCTTAATGTTAAGGAGTGAAATATTAAACTATAACGATGATTAGACAAAAAAAAAACTCTTCTACCGGAAGCAATACGGGTAGATGGTATTTAGTGGTATTAATTGGTTGAAATAAAATTCTCTACAACTTACTTTTCCAGTACAATTTCCGGTACGATTTTTCAATCCTTCCTTTATGTAACGCTCTCACCCTAATAGAAACTTACGTTCTCCAAATTGGCCCTCCTATTGATTTAGGCGTATATATACACAATAATACTAATTAATTTAATTAGAATGAATAGTATATTAGTGAATTTGTATGACAAGGACATGTAAATGAATATGATTGTGCATTTTGATTCTTTAGATAAATAAAATGGTTTAAGGCATGAACTAATTGTACAAACACTCGATTGGTTGAATGAGTTTTGTTTCTATAATTTACAGTAATTAGTTTATTCATAATATTTATGATTTTTGAATTATTTTATATGTGATTAAAAGTGTTTAATCTCGTTTGACTAGGTCGTCAGTCTATTTAGGGGTTAGTGGCCACTATAGTCAATCTTGGCCTAAGGCGGTTCAAGATGGTTTGGATTAGAGGAAGAGTAGGTGAATGAGTTGGCGTTTGGTAATTAATTATGACAGTTAAGAAGAAAAATTATCGAGACATATATCAGTAAAATAGGTTGAGAGAGAGAGAGAGGTCTGAGCGCAGGAGGCTGGTCGGGCTTAGGTAGGGAATAATTTCAGGTTTATCATTTGAAAAATATGTATTAATGTCGGCCATCTCTAGAGATGTTGGCTCAATTTATACTAGGCAAATCGGGTTAAACGTCATTAATGGTATGCCCGGGCACATGAGGTCATGTCATATGGTTCAATCACATGTCTATTTATGATACTTCGTTTGTACTGTTAAGTGATCCCAAGGTTCATTATTACTTAGAATATACGAGCATCCGTCTAATGAGTCAGAATGACATGTAGCTCTATTTTTCAGTACACAGCTTCTTATCTTCGGTGCGAACAACTGTCTCATTGGTATTGTCGTTGAGCACTCCCTTCCCAGATCTAGGGGCATTTTGGGCCTTATTTGAGTGATTGCGTTGAGAGTGAGCAATTAGACTTTTTATGCGACGTGGTTTATTGGACTACCAACCAGGCCAGACTTTAGCTTATCAGACCTAACAAGAAGTATAGTGATTATTTGTCGTATTAGTGGTAGTTGGTAGAAATTTAGTATTTCATCAGGTAAGTCGAGTAATGAACACATTTATTGAGTATCTTTTACATTAATGTTAGGAAAATGTAGAGACTTATTTGTCGAATGTGCCTGCCCATGTGATCTAAGCCTTTTTATTTCTATTAAAATCATTTAAACATTCTCTAACATTAAGTAATCCTTAAGTCATACAATTCGAGCGAGATGGGTTGGCGCTCCTACTTTAGAGAATGAAAATACAAAGTTGGGGGAACTCAAAAAAACATTTGTGAATTAATAGATCCAATCATAAGACAACGAATGATCGTTTCACCAGAGATAAACATTCATGTGGTGGGTGAGAGTAAGGACTAAAATAATTGGTGACAATAAAGACTCTATAGAATTTGGGCTCGTTACATGTGCTGTCAACACATGCACATTAATAACTCAACACTAGATTAGAAGAGATAGATTCGATGAGATTATCGAGGTCATCACTGATCTAGAGATCGTTTTGGACTGGTAAAAGAACTTGTTATATTAGAATCTCGGAATTTTATAGATATACACTTTTGATGGAAGGGAATGAAAGGTTGACAGTTGGTGGCTATAAGAAAAAGAAACAGTAAGACCATTGGGTGGAGTGCTACGATTCCATTTGGGAAAACTTAGGGGTTGATGTGCGAGGAGCATACGTTTACTTTTTTTTTCTTTTATAAAAAAATATCAAATACAAAGCAAATTTTTAAAATTTTATTTCTAAAACTGGTAACAAATCGTTCAAATGGGCTATTTAACTTTGTTATTTTCATTTTGATCTATATGTAGATCTTGAAGTAAATAAATAAGAGGTGTTATAGTGTTTTGTCTGTAATTTGGTAGTGCATTTAATAACTTTTTCAATAAGCCTAGCTCAGGTGGAGAAGTCTAGCTTGATTTAAGAACTGCTAATTCGGTTTAGATAGACTTCATTCAAGAATGATGCCACCCCTGGAATCGGTATATTAATGGTGTGTTAACTCTTTGTATATACACTTCTATGAAAATAGATGCTCTCCCGCTCTTGCTCTCTCTCTTACATTTAAGTGTCAATAACTTAAAGTAATCCGGCCAACAGCCTGATCAAAATCTAGATTGTTAGTATAATGTTAACACTAGCTCGAGTCAATAGGAACATCTTGTTGTTGTTATTATTATTATTATTATTATTATTATTATTATTATTATTATTGTTCTAAGGGGTTGACCATAATTAATGTAAATTTGTAAAGGGATGGACATGCTTGTCATTATTAAAAATTAAGGGCGCACACACGTGTTGTGCTAGTCAATAATTATACGTTCCTTGCCTCACGACAAGTATCATGAAGCATACCACAAAACACATACCAAAAACACGACAAACCACATGAAAAATAAGATAAAACATACTGAAAGCTCACCACACTACAAAATTCATAAGGCGTACTAGAAAACTCAAAGTAGACCACAAGTTTCTTAAAGTAACCAGAAACTTCATAAAGCACGCCACAAGTTTGTTAAATTAAAGTAAACAAAAGGTTCATCTGAAGCACACCAGAACTTTAGAAAACATACTACAAGCTCTCTAAAGCATATCAGAAATCTCATAAAGTATAATACAAGTTTGTTAAAGCATACTAAAAATCTCATCAAGCAAACCACAAGTTCCGTGAAGCAAATAGGAAATCTCACATATCAAAAGTTTATTAAAGAAGACCACAAGTTTTTTAAAACAGACAAGAAACCTCATAAAGCATATAAAAAACTTATAGAGCAAACGACAAGTTTATTAAAGCTTACCACATGTTTCTAAAAGCATACAAGAAATCTCAAACAACATACCTCAATTTCATTTAAGCATACTATGTACTAAGGCTGTGAATACTGACCAAACAGTAAGGGAAACCAGAGTCTAGAACAGACCATACGGTTTGGACTGATCGTGAGACCATAATCACGGTCTGGTCTGGTTTGCGGTCTCCCCATTTAGTGTATGGTTTGACACAGTCTGGACCGCTACAAACCACGGTTAATCACGGTAAACCATGAACCATTACCCATAATCCAAACCAAAATAAAACTAAACCTCCATTTCTGCATTGTGAAGAACAAACCGAGCCTGATCAATCTAACCATGACGAGCACAAAATTTGATCTTCTTATAACAGATTTCAGTACAAGCACAAAAAATCTATTGATTCTTCATCCAACTGAAAACAAATAGACTGCTCAAGCAATCCAATTTGTGTTATCTCCTGATGAAAGAACCTCACAAAAACAAGAACAGATGGAAAAATTATCTCCACTAGTCATGTCTAGACTTCGGAGGCGATAATGTAGATATGCATATCAAATTTTATTTACATGGGTAGGATAAGAGAAATTCTAGAGAGTGAATGGAAACCCAATAGTTCAAAACGCTCTCGACGGTGTCGTGTTGGGGATTGAGTGCGAGAACCTTCCGAACCACTTAGGATAGGGAGAGAAGTGATAGCACAAAGAGAAAGAGGTTGACGAAGTTATTTGTTCTGCATTTATTTTAAGTAGACACAGAATAGAGTGGTGCAGAATGAAATGAGGTTTAAAAATCGAAACAGTTCACTTCTCCCCTCAATCCTCATATTTCTTCGCAGTTTAATTATGATCATGAAATTTTTGCTTCACTAGGATATTAGGCACTAAATTTTTTATTTTTATGGATACCGATGAGAATTTGAGGGACGAAGAATAGTGAAGTTTAGTTGAACATATTCTACCCGGTCCAGACCGTACAAGATTGGACTGAATAAATGCGGTCTAGTCTGAACCATATAGTATATGGTGTGGTCCATTGCTGTGTTTTAGTCTCACGGTCTGGACCGCAGATCATATATATGGTCCGGATCGCATTGTGTCTCACCCCTAAAACATATAAAAAACTCATAAAATTGAACTTATTTTGAAATTAAATAAAAAAATTAAGTACTTATAGGTAATGCATAAATTAGGCATTATATAATTTTCCATCAATATTTGTAGGACTTATATGGAAAAAAAAATTAGACCCTAAATTCTAAAATCTATTAAGTTTAGATATCAAATTGTAATTTTGCATGTGAAAACCCAAATCCATGAAAAGGAGGAAGGAGTTGTTATAACTTATAAGTACTATAATATGCTTATAACTAGTGTTAACAATTTGATCCATTAATAATTGATTTAGCTTCGGTGATGAATATTTAACAAAGTCCTTATATATAGTATACGACACTTGAAATATGCAAAACATACACACCTCCTAGTATTAGAAGCAACTAGGTGGCGATGTCGCGCCTTGCGCGTGGCGGAGATGGCCTAT